ATGATATACTCATCTACTCAACTAATAATTCAAAAATACAATTGATGATTCCAAAACAATTAATGATATGTCCAGTAACATTTGAAATGTGAATGATTATTGTTCTTTTTCAAGTCTACATATAATATTTTTTAAAATGTTTCAGATAGGAATATATATATTTCATGTATTTAATTTCTTGACCATACATACACATAATTTGAATCATGTTATATATAATGATACTTTCACATATTACACAACTGTATTTGAACAAATTTAAGGATGGACATGGAAAATTTATGAGTTCTAACTTACGTTAATAATTTTATAGTGTGTAGTATTGATATCTGGCCTATTAGCTCAGTTGGTTAGAGCGTCGTGCTAATAACGCGAAGGTCGCAGGTTCGAGACCTGCATGGGCCATTTTTTAAATTTTACCTTTTTTTTTTCTCATAAATATATAAGTTAGTTAACTTATTGTGGATATGTTGCTGGGCTGCAGGTTATGTTGCTGGGCTGCAGGTCGTTCACAGTAATGAACTGCTCTCAAAGAAGCCCAATAAGAGTGAAATTGAGCTAGAAGTCTTAAGCCCATTTGTTTTGTTTTTGTCAAGAATATATGTAATGGACAAAAATAACTTCCTTACTCTTTGGGGTTTGGGCTTCGCCTTTTTAAGGCCATTATGTGCCTAGAGATTTTGAGTGTCGATTGGCCTTCTCCAATGGGCCGCCGGGCTCCCGATGGCGGCCACCCCTTCGTTGTGCGGCTCTCTCCCTTTTGAGGCAGATGCAGGTCTTCTCTCGTCCGTTGGGTGGGATTAGGCCTGTAAGGGTTTCGCTGATTTCCCTTATTGGGCCGGAGATTGTCGATCTTTTGGGCGCGCTGGTGGTAGAAGGCATTGTTGGTATTTCTGCGGGATTGGGTTGTGGCTCCTACGACTTTGTTAGGGTGGTTGGGGCTGAGGAGAGTGGGCTCTCCCCCTTGTCCCTTTTGCCCCTGGTGCGTGGGCAAGGAGATGGCTGACGTGATGGGCCTGGCCGTGATTTGGCTGGGCTCAGGGCGGTGGTGGTGTGGTGGGGGGTTTGTTCGATTTTCTTCGACTATGGGGTTAGGTCGAGTTTGTGGGGTGTTAGCTCCAGTGAAGCTTTTGTGGCAATTTCTGGATCTAAGACTAGGGACGAGATATGGTCACATAGGTGGTCGGCCTTTGGTGCCGTTGTCGTGGTTTACTTGGTGTGTTTTTATCGTATATGGGAATGACTTTAGTCTGTAATTAGGTTATGTTTGTTTGTAATAAGTGGTTTATCTGTGTTTTTTTTGGGGTAAATTGCACCAAACCCCCCTGTAATATACTAAATCTGCGCGTTTTCCCCCGTATTTTAAAAATTGCGCCATACCCCCTTGTAATATACTTTTGCATGCACACTCTCCCTGCTACGTTAACACCGTTACAAATCCCCCTGACGGCGTTACTTTTTGTTCAAT